TTGTACTTCTTTTCCATTTGAGTAAATGGTGGTAAATGCTTTTATGATTAGGTTACTTGGTTTTTCTCTCTCACTTCTGTTCACATGTTTGAGCTGAAATCTTCTACCTTGGTGTGACGGACTGTGCGGTACTTTAAAACTTGTGAAGACTGCAATCAAAGTAATCAAATCACTTTATTAACCATTGTTTGATACAAACATAAGGAATATGTGTTCATTAGGGAATAAAAATCATTCTGCATGCTTCTCTTTTATCTACATGTTGGTGGACTGAAATGAAAATGTCTTCGTTGTTCTGCCTTTGCTTTGACACAGAAGGTGAGATGAAGACTGATAAGGATTAATTTACTTTTTCAGGATTTAAGTGAACTGATATTTCATTTAAATTTTCATTTATACTGCTTTATATATTTAGATATAGATAATATACATTATTTGCACTAATACCATCTTTTTCCCTCTTTCATTACCTGAATCCACACTCTGAGGACAAAGGTAAATCAACAAATGATCTGTAATAATTTTATATTATGTGAATAATCACGTTCAGTTCTCATTGTATGGGAATTAATGCAGTGCGTCTCTGTTTGTGTCTGCATGTTGGTTGAGTGGATCAAAGTGTCTTAATTGGTTAATTGCTGCACTGGAACATAAGATGAAATGAAGTTCGTCTCACTGTTTGTACCTAATGTGAGTATAAATGTAATTAATAGAGATGGAAGATAAAAATCACTGATCATTTTATTATTTATATTTTGATCCTGTATTAAATCCATTGTTAGACTAATAAATTACCAAAATGCATTGAGTTCTTAGTCCACATGATGGCGCTGCGAAATCAGAAAAGGACATTTTCCTTTTTCAAACTGCAAACTGTTAAAATATACTTTATTAAAATGTGTCATAACTCAGTACAGCACATTACACAACTCTGTAAAGATCATAATAGAATTGTATTATGGCTGAATTATTGTAATATCATGCTGTTTATTCTTTTCTGTTTATTCTATTTTTTCTATTTGCTTGTATATTTTTATGAGACTAACATAACCTTTTTCCCTCCCTCTATTCCTGAGTCCACACTCTGAGGAATTACAAAGTGGAAAAAGTTAAGTAAACAAAAAAATAAAATCATCTAAAGTCTAGAATCATTATATATTGTATGAATAATTCTACACAGATCACTTTATATGGAAATTAATGCAGTGTCTTTGTCTTCAGCTGTATTATGGACGTGTGTGTAAAACGACTGTCCACACAGACCGGTAAGCATCATGAGCACTATTAGCATTATTAGCATTATTAGCATTATTAGCACTGTAAGCTAAATCTGCTCTCATTGTTTCCTGTTTAGTGTTGTGACTATAAGAGAATATTATTCTGTTAAAGTGAGACGACAAAGTCAATGTTAACTTTATTATCATTCCTCCTCGTCTCAGATGTGTTGAGTAAGGAATAAAATACAGTCCCTCCTGAACACGAAGCTACACTTAACACAGAACAGCAGAAGACAATAATACAGACACACCATCAATACAATAAACACAGACAATAAACTAAACACTTTACAATAAACTATATGAGCGTCAGTTCAGGACAGTAGATACTAAATGGTGAACGGTGGACAAGCAGCAATGATTATATGTATAAGTGTTTGTAAATGTTTTATTAATGTTTCTTTTCACTAACTCATCACTCACTTATAATTGTAGTTTTTCCATATTGTTGTATATGTAAATAACACTAAACCACATTTTCCCTCCCTCTTTAACTGAATCCACACTCTGAGGAATGAGCAGTATTAGCATGATTATTTGCATGATTAGGCAGAGATGTTGTAGATCTTAATGACACTGTTACCACCTTTTTCCCTCCCTCTATATCTGAGTCCACAGTCTGAGGAATTACAAAGTGGAAAAAGTTAAGTAAACAAATTGCCTAAAATTATTGTGTATGATTTGAATATTTGTACACAGTTGTCATTGTATAGAAATAAATGCAGTGTCTTCCTCTTTTTTACATGTGGACTGAATGGATTAAAATGTCTTCACTGGTTAATGGCTGCACTGGGACATAAGGTGAGAGAAACGGTGTCTTAATAGAGTTTGTACTTCTTTTCCATTTGAGTAAATGGTGGTAAATGCTTTTATGATTAGGTTACTTGGTTTTTCTCTCTCACTTCTGTTCACATGTTTGAGCTGAAATCTTCTACCTTGGTGTGACGGACTGTGCGGTACTTTAAAACTTGTGAAGACTGCAATCAAAGTAATCAAATCACTTTATTAACCATTGTTTGATACAAACATAAGGAATATGTGTTCATTAGGGAATAAAAACCATTCTGCATGCTTCTCTTTTATCTACATGTTGGTGGACTGAAATGAAAATGTCTTCGTTGTTCTGCCTTTGCTTTGACACAGAAGGTGAGATGAAGACTGATAAGGATTAATTTACTTTTTCAGGATTTAAATGAACTGATATTTCATTTAAATTTTCATTTATACTGCTTTATATATTTAGATATAGATAATATACATTATTTGCACTAATACCATCTTTTTCCCTCTTTCATTACCTGAATCCACACTCTGAGGACAAAGGTAAATCAACAAATGATCTGTAATAATTTTATATTATGTGAATAATCACGTTCAGTTCTCATTGTATGGGAATTAATGCAGTGCGTCTCTGTTTGTGTCTGCATGTTGGTTGAGTGGATCAAAGTGTCTTAATTGGTTAATTGCTGCACTGGAACATAAGATGAAATGAAGTTCGTCTCACTGTTTGTACCTAATGTGAGTATAAATGTAATTAATAGAGATGGAAGATAAAAATCACTGATCATTTTATCATTTATATTTTGATCCTGTATTAAATCCATTGTTAGACTAATAAATTACCAAAATGCATTGAGTTCTTAGTCCACATGATGGCGCTGCGAAATCAGAAAATGACATTTTCCTTTTTCAAACTGCAAACTGTTAAAATATACTTTATTAAAATGTGTCATAACTCAGTACAGCACATTACACAACTCTGTAAAGATCATAATAGAATTGTATTATGGCTGAATTATTGTAATATCATGCTGTTTATTCTTTTCTGTTTATTCTATTTTTTCTATTTGCTTGTATATTTTTATGAGACTAACATAACCTTTTTCCCTCCCTCTATTCCTGAGTCCACACTCTGAGGAATTACAAAGTGGAAAAAGTTAAGTAAACAAATTCTAAAATCATCTAAAGTCTAGAATCATTATATATTGTTTGAATAATTCTACACAGATCACTTTATATGGAAATTAATGCAGTGTCTTTGTCTTCAGCTGCATTATGGACGTGTGTGTAAAACGACTGTCCACACAGACCGGTAAGCATCATGAGCACTATTAGCATTATTAGCATTATTAGCACTGTTAGCTAAATCTGCTCTCATTGTTTCCTGTTTAGTGTTGTGACTATAAGAGAATATTATTCTGTTAAAGTGAGACGACAAAGTCAATGTTAACTTTATTATCATTCCTCCTCGTCTCAGATGTGTTGAGTAAGGAATAAAATACAGTCCCTCCTGAACACGAAGCTACACTTAACACAGAACAGCAGAAGACAATAATACAGACACACCATCAATACAATAAACACAGACAATAAACTAAACACTTTACAATAAACTATATGAGCGTCAGTTCAGGACAGTAGATACTAAATGGTGAACGGTGGACAAGCAGCAATGATTATATGTATAAGTGTTTGTAAATGTTTTATTAATGTTTCTTTTCACTAACTCATCACTCACTTATAATTGTAGTTGTTCCATATTGTTGTATATGTAAATAACACTAAACCACATTTTCCCTCCCTCTTTAACTGAATCCACACTCTGAGGAATGAGCATTATTAGCATGATTATTTGCATGATTAGGCAGAGATGTTGTAGATCTTAATGACACTGTTACCACCTTTTTCCCTCCCTCTCTATCTGAGTCCACAGTCTGAGGAATTACAACGTGTAAAAAGTTAAGTAAAAATTTGTCTAAAATTATTATGTATGATTTGAATATCTGTACACAGTTCTCACTGTATGGAAATGAATGCAGTGTCTTCCTCTTTTTTACATGTGGACAGAATGGATTAACATGTCTTCACTGGTTAATGGCTGCACTCAGACATCAGGTGAGAGAAACAGTGTCTTAATAGAGTTTGTCCTTCTTTTCCATTTGAGTAAATGGTGGTAAATGCTTTTATGATTAGGTTATTTGGTTTTTCTCTCTCACTTCTGTTCACATGTTTGAGCTGAAATCTTCTACCTTGGTGTGACGGACTGTGCGGTACTTTAAAACTTGTGAAGACTGCAATCAAAGTAATCAAATCACTTTATTAACCATTGTTTGATACAAACATAAGGAATATGTGTTCATTAGGGAATAAAAACCATTCTGCATGCTTCTCTTTTATCTACATGTTGGTGGACTGAAATGAAAATGTCTTCGTTGTTCTGCCTTTGCTTTGACACAGAAGGTGAGATGAAGACTGATAAGGATTAATTTACTTTTTCAGGATTTAAATGAACTGATATTTCATTTAAATTTTCATTTATACTGCTTTATATATTTAGATATAGATAATATACATTATTTGCACTAATACCATCTTTTTCCCTCTTTCATTACCTGAATCCACACTCTGAGGACAAAGGTAAATCAACAAATGATCTGTAATAATTTTATATTATGTGAATAATCACATTCAGTTCTCATTGTATGGGAATTAATGCAGTGCGTCTCTGTTTGTGTCTGCATGTTGGTTGAGTGGATCAAAGTGTCTTAATTGGTTAATTGCTGCACTGGAACATAAGATGAAATGAAGTTCGTCTCACTGTTTGTACCTAATGTGAGTATAAATGTAATTAATAGAGATGGAAGATAAAAATCACTGATCATTTTATTATTTATATTTTGATCCTGTATTAAATCCGTTGTTAGACTAATAAATGACCAAAATGCATTGAGTTCTTAGTCCACATGATGGTGCTGCGAAATCAGAAAATGACATTTTCCTTTTTCAAACTGCAAACTGTTAAAATATACTTTATTAAAATGTGTCATAACTCAGTACAGCACATTACACAACTCTGTAAAGATCATAATAGAATTGTATTATGGCTGAATTATTGTAATATCATGCTGTTTATTCTTTTCTGTTTATTCTATTTTTTCTATTTGCTTGTATATTTTTATGAGACTAACATAACCTTTTTCCCTCCCTCTATTCCTGAGTCCACACTCTGAGGAATTACAAAGTGGAAAAAGTTAAGTAAACAAATTCTAAAATCATCTAAAGTCTAGAATCATTATATATTGTTTGAATAATTCTACACAGATCACTTTATATGGAAATTAATGCAGTGTCTTTGTCTTCAGCTGCATTATGGACGTGTGTGTAAAACGACTGTCCACACAGACCGGTAAGCATCATGAGCACTATTAGCATTATTAGCATTATTAGCACTGTTAGCTAAATCTGCTCTCATTGTTTCCTGTTTAGTGTTGTGACTATAAGAGAATATTATTCTGTTAAAGTGAGACGACAAAGTCAACGTTAACTTTATTATCATTCCTCCTCGTCTCAGATGGGTTGAGTAAGGAATAAAATACAGTCCCTCCTGAACACGAAGCTACACTTAAGACAGAACAGCAGAAAACAATAATACAGACACACCATCAATACAATAAACACAGACAATAAACTAAACACTTTACAATAAACTATATGAGCGTCAGTTCAGGACAGTAGATACTAAATGGTGAACGGTGGACAAGCAGCAATGATTATATGTATAAGTGTTTGTAAATGTTTTATTAATGTTTCTTTTCACTAACTCATCACTCACTTATAATTGTAGTTGTTCCATATTGTTGTATATGTAAATAACACTAAACCACATTTTCCCTCCCCCTTTAACTGAATCCACACTCTGAGGAATGAGCATTATTAGCATGATTATTTGCATGATTAGGCAGAGATGTTGTAGATCTTAATGACACTGTTACCACCTTTTTCCCTCCCTCTATATCTGAGTCCACAGTCTGAGGAATTACAAAGTGGAAAAAGTTAAGTAAACAAATTGCCTAAAATTATTGTGTATGATTTGAATATTTGTACACAGTTGTCATTGTATAGAAATAAATGCAGTGTCTTCCTCTTTTTTACATGTTGACTGAATGGATTAAAATGTCTTCACTGGTTAATGGCTGCACTTGGACATAAGGTGAGATAAACAGTGTCTTAATAGAGTTTGTACTTCTTTTCCATTTGAGTAAATGGTGGTAAATGCTTTTATGATTTTGTTACTTGGATTTTCTCTCTCACTTCTGTTCACATGTTTGAGCTGAAATCTTCTACCTTGGTGTGACAGACTGTGCAGTACTTTAAAACTTGTGAAGACTGCAATCAAAGTAATCAAATCACTTTATTAACCATTGTTTGATACAAACATAAGGAATATGTGTTCATTAGGGAATAAAAACCATTCTGCATGCTTCTCTTTTATCTACATGTTGGTGGACTGAAATGAAAATGTCTTCGTTGTTCTGCCTTTGACACAGAAGGTGAGATGAAGACTGACTTGAGGTTTAATTTCATTTTTTTATGATTTAAATGAACTGGTGTAGATTGTATTTGCATGTACAGTCTGGTTCTGTGCTGTTTGTTCTCTGGATGTTTTTACAGGGATTCCTCTCACCCTGTTTGGATGATGGTGGTCTTTCTCTACCTAAATATGTCTGTGTGATGGAGGAGCAGAGCTGCAGTTAACAGTGAGACCTGTGAAAGGACCCTTTGACAACCTTCCATATGAACTGGTAATCATTATTAGCATTATTGGCTAAAGCTAATCTCACTACATTAGTTTTCGTGCCTAATGACTGGGAGAGAATATTGTTTGGTGTGACATCCTGTTGGTTTTGGGTTTTCTTTGCCATTCATATATAGATAATATACATTAGAAACATTGATGTAAGAATTACAGTTCATATTGTCTGTATACTGGATGAGTTCATTTCATGACCGACCACATGGACTGGTCAACTTTATTAGCTTTACTACTATTATCAGTATAATGCCAATAGAAGATCAATGTGCGTGATTATATGTATGTGTATTTGAATGTGCATTGTTATAAGAGTGCACCAATACTAATAATAACAGTACAAATGCTGTCAATAGTAATAATAAAAATATTAATTTGTCGTCTCAGCAGGTAACAATGTGAAAAGTGCAGACAGTGTGTATTTTGTGTGTACAGAATAAAGTGTTGTGTGTTTATAAAGTGAATTCTATTGTAATGCTTTCAGTGATGTTTTTAGGTGGTGATTTTACTTACAGGTATAAAAATATTATACATTATTTGCACTAATACCACCTTTGTCTCTCTTTCTTTACATGAATCCACACACTGAGATAAAAGGTAAGTCATCAAATGATCTGCAATAATTCTATATGTGAAAAATCATATTCAGTTCTCATTGTATGGGAATTAATGCAGTGTCAATCTCTTTGTGTCTGCATGTTGGGAGAGTGGATCAAAGTGTCTTAATTGGTTAGTGGGTGCACTGGGACATAAGATGAAATGAAGGTCGTCTCACTGTTTGTACCTAATGTGAGTATAAATGTAATTCATAGAGGTGGGAGATGAATATCACTGCATCATTAAGGTGAAAAATAGCAATATTGAACAGAGTATTGACATTTTATTATTTATATTTTGATCCTGTATTAAGTCCATTGTTAGACTAATAAAATAGGAAAATGCGTTGTGTTCTCCTGCTGTTTATTCTTTTCTTTTCATTGTTTTTTTTTGTTTTTTTTTATTTGGTTGTATATCTCTATGACACTAATATAACCTTTTCCCTCCCTCTATATCTGAGTCCACACTCGGAGGAATTACAGCGTGTAAAAAGTTAAGTAAAAATTTGTCTAAAATTATTATGTATGATTTGAATATCTGTACACAGTTCTCACTGTATGGAAATGAATGCAGTGTCTTCCTCTTTTTTACATGTGGACAGAATGGATTAACATGTCTTCACTGATTAATGGCTGCACTGGGACATAAGGTGAGATAAACAGTGTCTTAATAGAGTTTGTCCTTCTTTTCCATTTGAGTAAATGGTGGTAAATGCTTTTATGATTAGGTTACTTGGTTTTTCTCTCTCACTTCTGTTCACATGTTTGAGCTGAAATCTTCTACCTTGGTGTGACAGACTGTGCGGTACTTTAAAACTTGTGAAGACTGCAATGAAAGTAATCAAATCACTTTATTAACCATTGTTTGATACAAACATAAGGAATATGTGTTCATTAGGGAATAAAAACCATTCTGCATGCTTCTCTTTTATCTACATGTTGGTGGACTGAAATGAAAATGTCTTCGTTGTTCTGCCTTTGACACAGAAGGTGAGATGAAGACTGACTTGAGGTTTAATTTCATTTTTTTTATGATTTAAATGAACTGGTGTAGATGCATGTACAGTCTGGTTCTGTGCTGTTTGTTCTCTGGATGTTTTACAGGGATTCCTCTCACCCTGTTTGGATGATGGTGGTCTTTCTCTACCTAAATATGTCTGTGTGATGGAGGAGCAGAGCTGCAGTTAACAGTGAGACCTGTGAAAGGACCCTTTGACAACCTTCCATATGAACTGGTAATCATTATTAGCATTATTGGCTAAAGCTAATCTCACTACATTAGTTTTCGTGCCTAATGACTGGGAGAGAATATTGTTTGGTGTGACATCCTGTTGGTTTTGGGTTTTCTTTGCCATTCATATATAGATAATATACATTAGAAACATTGATGTAAGAATTACAGTTCATATTGTCTGTATACTGGATGAGTTCATTTCATGACCGACCACATGGACTGGTCAACTTTATTAGCTTTACTACTATTATCAGTATAATGCCAATAGAAGATCAATGTGCGTGATTATATGTATGTGTATTTGAATGTGCATTGTTATAAGAGTGCACCAATACTAATAATAACAGTACAAATGCTGTCAATAGTAATAATAAAAATATTAATTTGTCGTCTCAGCAGGTAACAATGTGAAAAGTGCAGACAGTGTGTATTTTGTGTGTACAGAATAAAGTGTTGTGTGTTTATAAAGTGAATTCTATTGTAATGCTTTCAGTGATGTTTTTAGGTGGTGATTTTACTTACAGGTATAAAAATATTATACATTATTTGCACTAATACCACCTTTGTCTCTCTTTCTTTACATGAATCCACACACTGAGATAAAAGGTAAGTCATCAAATGATCTGCAATAATTCTATATGTGAAAAATCATATTCAGTTCTCATTGTATGGGAATTAATGCAGTGTCAATCTCTTTGTGTCTGCATGTTGGGAGAGTGGATCAAAGTGTCTTAATTGGTTAGTGGGTGCACTGGGACATAAGATGAAATGAAGGTCGTCTCACTGTTTGTACCTAATGTGAGTATAAATGTAATTCATAGAGGTGGGAGATGAATATCACTGCATCATTAAGGTGAAAAATAGCAATATTGAACAGAGTATTGACATTTTATTATTTATATTTTGATCCTGTATTAAATCCGTTGTTAGACTAATAAATGACCAAAATGCATTGAGTTCTTAGTCCACATGATGGTGCTGCGAAATCAGAAAATGACATTTTCCTTTTTCAAACTGCAAACTGTTAAAATATACTTTATTAAAATGTGTCATGACTCAGTACAGCACATTACACAACTCTGTAAAGATCATAATAGAATTGTATTATGGCTGAATTATTGTAATATCATGCTGTTTATTCTTTTCTGTTTATTCTATTTTTTCTATTTGCTTGTATATTTTTATGAGACTAACATAACCTTTTTCCCTCCCTCTATTCCTGAGTCCACACTCTGAGGAATTACAAAGTGGAAAAAGTTATGTAAACAAATTCTAAAATCATCTAAAGTCTAGAATCATTATATATTGTTTGAATAATTCTACACAGATCACTTTATATGGAAATTAATGCAGTGTCTTTGTCTTCAGCTGCATTATGGACGTGTGTGTAAAACGACTGTCCACACAGACCGGTAAGCATCATGAGCACTATTAGCATTATTAGCATTATTAGCATTATTAGCACTGTTAGCTAAATCTGCTCTCATTGTTTCCTGTTTAGTGTTGTGACTATAAGAAAATATTATTCTGTTAAAGTGAGACGACAAAGTCAACGTTAACTTAATTATCATTCCTCCTCGTCTCAGATGTGTTGAGTAAGGAATAAAATACAGTCCCTCCTGAACACGAAGCTACACTTAACACAGAACAGCAGAAAACAATAATACAGACACACCATCAATACAATAAACACAGACAATAAACTAAACACTTTACAATAAACTATATGAGCGTCATTTCAGGACAGTAGATACTAAATGGTGAACGGTGGACAAGCAGCAGTGATTATATGTAGAAGTGTTTGTAAATGTTTTATTAATGTTTCTTTTCACTAACTCATCTCTCAGTTATAATTGTAGTTTTTCCATATTGTTGTATATGTAAATAACACTAAACCACATTTTCCCTCCCTCTTTAACTGAATCCACACTCTGAGGAATGAGCATTATTAGCATGATTATTTGCATGATTAGGCAGAGATGTTGTAGATCTTAATGACACTGTTACCACCTTTTTCCCTCCCTCTATATCTGAGTCCACAGTCTGAGGAATTACAAAGTGGAAAAAGTTAAGTAAACAAATTGCCTAAAATTATTGTGTATGATTTGAATATTTGTACACAGTTGTCATTGTATAGAAATAAATGCAGTGTCTTCCTCTTTTTTACATGTTGACTGAATGGATTAAAATGTCTTCACTGGTTAATGGCTGCACTGGGACATAAGGTGAGATAAACAGTGTCTTAATAGAGTTTGTACTTCTTTTCCATTTGAGTAAATGGTGGTAAATGCTTTTATGATTAGGTTACTTGGATTTTCTCTCTCACTTCTGTTCACATGTTTGAGCTGAAATCTTCTACCTTGGTGTGACAGACTGTGCAGTACTTTAAAACTTGTGAAGACTGCAATCAAAGTAATCAAATCACTTTATTAACCATTGTTTGATACAAACATAAGGAATATGTGTTCATTAGGGAATAAAAACCATTCTGCATGCTTCTCTTTTATCTACATGTTGGTGGACTGAAATGAAAATGTCTTCGTTGTTCTGTCTTTGACACAGAAGGTGAGATGAAGACTGACTTGAGGTTTAATTTCATTTTTTTTATGATTTAAATGAACTGGTGTAGATGCATGTACAGTCTGGTTCTGTGCTGTTTGTTCTCTGGATGTTTTACAGGGATTCCTCTCACCCTGTTTGGATGATGGTGGTCTTTCTCTACCTAAATATGTCTGTGTAATTGAGGACCAGAGCTGCAGTTAACAGTGAGACCTGTGAAAGGACCCTTTGACAACCTTTCATATGAACTGGTAATCATTATTAGCATTATTGGCTAAAGCTAATCCCACTACATTAGTTTTAGTGCCTAATGAAAGGGAGAGAATATTGTTTGGTGTGACATCCTGTTGGTTTTGGGTTTTCTTTGTCATTTATATGTAGATAATATACATTAGAAACATTGATGTAAGAATTACAGTTCATATTGTCTGTATACTGGATGAGTTCATTACATGACCGACCACATGGACTGGTCAACTTTATTAGCATTACTACTATTATCAGCATAATGCAGATAGAAGATCAATGTGCATGATTATATGTATGTGTATTTGTATGTGCATTGTTATAAGAGTGCACCAATACTAATAATAACAGTATAAGTAGTATTAATAGTAATAATAATAATAATAATGTAACGGGTTTTGAAATTTTTAATATTATTATTGCTAGAACCTTATGTGAGGATGTGAGGTAACCCGGATTTATTTGAAGTCTACAGACCAGGGCAAGAGAGAGAAACGCTCGCACCAAAGATCCTTCAGAAAAGGGAATTTATTGCCTAAATATCAAACTACTTTTGGACTACATTCAATGATAAACAATAGAAAATAAAACCAGAAAACAAAACAAAGTGATAATAATGAAAGACAACATAGCTCGAGTAAGTTAGAGTGATTCACGGCTAAATGGTATGAGGCAGTGTGGTTTGGGAAGTCGTTTGGGAGAGCCTCTAGAAAATTAACCTAAGCATGGACGGGAATAAATATATGGCTGGATGTACCTATAAAAGTTCTCTTATTAAATAAATTGGCGTCAGGGCCCTGACTGCAAACTGATGGAACCAGCTTACGTTGGAGTCAGGGGCCAACTTCAGGAGGGGTCGTCTCAGGACAGACTCAATCGAAGGCTGGAGCTCACGCGGTGGTTCCTCTCCTCGCTGGCCGTGGACGCTGCATCTCCGTGAAAACCATATTAGGAGTTGAAAACCGTAATAGGAGTTGAACTGCTATCCAAGTAAACCTCAAAGTGTTGAAGTGCCAGGAGGAGCGCAAGGGCTTCCTTTTCGATAGTACTGTAGGCTAACTGATGCTTAACAAATTTTCTTGAGAAGTAACAAAGAGGATGGTCAATACCAAGGGCATCCTCTTGTAGGAGGACTGCACCGGCCCCAGTACCACTGGCATCTACTTCCAATTTAAACGGCTTATGAAAGTCAGGTGTGGCTAGAACAGGAGAGCTACTTAACAAAGCCTTCACAGACTCAAACGCAGATTGGCATGCTGGGGACCAAACAAAAGGATGGTTTTTGCAGAGGAGATTGGTAAGTGGCAAAACAAGATCAGAAAAATTCTTGCAAAAGCAACGATAGTACCCAGCCATACCCAAAAAACGTTTAAGCTCACGTGGTGTTTGAGGAGTAGGGAAAGAGCTAATGGCTTGTACTTTAGCATCAAAGGGTCGCACCATGCCGTTGCCAACAATCTTGCCAAGGTAGGTGACCACACCTTTTCCAAATTCACACTTTTCTAGATTTAGCACAAGGGAGGCATCTCGTAATTTAGTAAATACTGTTTCCAGCAGCTGCATATGGTGTCCCCAGGTGTCTGAATAAACAACAATGTCGTCAAGGTAGGCATCACAATTTGGCACGTCTCCTAGAACAATAGTCATGAGGCGTTGGAAAGTAGCTGGGGCATTTCGTAAACCGAAAGCCATTACGGTATACTGCAGGAATGTATCTGGTGTAGCAAATGCAGAGATGCCAGAGGCGCGAGGGGTTAGGGGAACCTGCCAATAGCCCTTCAGTAGGTCTAGTTTGGTCACAAACTTGGCAGAGCCAACACGATCAATGCAATCTTCCATTCATGGGAGAGGAAAAGAATCTGGGACTGTAACGGCATTTACTTTTCTGTAATCAGTGCAAAACCTGTATGTTGTGTCAGGTTTTGAGACCAGAAGGCAAGGGGAACACCACGGGCTGTTACTGGGAACTGCAAATCTGTTTTTAAGTAAGTACTCAGTTTCTTGCTGTAAGAGAGAACGTTTATGTGGGCTAACGCGGTAAGGGTGCTGCCTAATGGGTGGATGTCCGTTGACATCAATATCGTGCTGAAGGACAGAAGTTTGAGACGGAATATCTGAAAATGGAGAGGGAAATCTATCAAATAGGGATGTAAGGTCAGACTGTGCAGCTAATGGTAAATCGGACAGCTTCTCTGAGATGGACTGCAATGCTTGGGAATCAGCAAGGCGAGCACAAGGGAGACAGTTTCTGCCCAAGTGGAGGTTATCACTTTCAGGTGCATATTCACTAACCAAAGCTGCTGCTAGTGGAACAGACAAGTGGGACGGAGGCAAGGGAGGACTAGGGGTAATTACATTTACATTTTCGTCAGTAGAACGAGCCACATAGGGCTTCAACATATTTACATGTGTCCTGCGAAACTTACGGCGACGGTCAGGAGTCTCAAGAACATAATTAGTGCTCGATAGCTTCTCAGTTATTTCATAAGGACCACAAAAGTGCGTCTGTAAGGTAGAGCCAGTAACTGGGAGGAGAGCAAGGACACGATCACCAACATTAAAAGTGCGATTAATGGCTTTGCGATCATAGCGGATTTTCATTGCCTCCTGAGAGGAACACAGATTCTGTTTTGCTAATTTTCGAGCTAATTGCAGACGCTCACGAAGCTTAGAAACAAAGCAAAGCACTTTATTGCCAGAAGTCGAAGGAGGAGACAACCACTGTTCATGAAGCACCCTCAGAGGGCCACGGACCGAGTGACCAAAAATCAACGAATTGGGACTAAAACCAGTCGATTCTTGCACAGTGTCACGAATAGCAAACAATAGTAGAGGCACTCCCTCATCCCAGTCTTTGCCAGTCTCAAAGCAGTAGGTTCTCAACATGTTTTTAAATATTTGATGAAAACACTCAAGGGCGCCTTGTGACTGAGGATGGTACGCGCTGGAGACTTTGTGTTTAATGTTGAGTTCACCAACTACCTGAGAAAACAGCTTAGACATGAAGTTCGATCCTTGATCGGATTGTATGTATTTAGGCAGTCCAAATGTAGTGCAAAACTTAATCAAAGCCTTGATTATTGATCTTGATTTAAGGGAACGCAAGGGAATAGCCTCAGGAAACCTTGTAGCAGCACACATTAGGGTAAGAAGGTAGCAATTACCAGATCAAGTTTTAGGCAAGGGGCCCACACAGTCAATTAACAGTCTTTCAAATGGTTCTCCTACTGCAGGTATGGGGCACAGGGGTGCAGGGGGAA